GGTAATGATGCTACATTGTTATCTTTATATGACAATAAACTTGAACTTGAAACTTGAAAATACGGGAGCATGAATAGAACAGATATATTTTAGTTATATTTTAACATTGAAAATATTGCACATCACAAAACAAAAGGTTTAAATAAGAAACTTGAAGGTCTACAAAGCTAAAAGTAGGATTAGCTACAATCAACAAGAACAATATTTAAAAAATATTTTCAAGTATTTTAACTTTTGCATTAAATAAGTGAGTTTATCTTATCTGATGTTGACGTCCTGTTCTGTCTGTATCACTCTTGCTGTGTTTCTGTTTGGCCAACAGAGACCCCTGCTGGCCATCCTTTGGAATCTCATTCCAAATTACTCACACCTGACCCTCATCTAATCCTAACCCTACTTACCCTTGTATATGGATACCTGCCTGTGTGATTTTTCCTAGTCTAACCGTTGTTAGTTTTGTAGAGGTTAGCGTTGGTGCTGCTTGTCTGTCTCTCTTCATAGTCAACGTTCCCTCTGCCATCTTCCCCTGAACCCTCCTAATTGTTCCTCCCGGCCTTTTGTTTTCACCCCTCGTGATCCTTTTGTTTCTGTCTGTGTGGGTGTTTTTGTTCCTAAATAAAATCCCTCTGATTCCCTCAAAGGTTGCATATAGATTGTCCCTCCTTTCTGTCACATTCTGAATGGTTAATCATGTGTTAAACATCTTTGTTTTGAAAATGCACAAGAGCAAGCATATTTGGAAAGAGTAGGGGTGCATCCAGAATAAGAAATACATATTCAAGCCAATTAATATAACTGGGCATTGTTTAATAATAAAACTTATACAGAGACGGCACTTCCTCCTCAGGTCAGGTCAGTTTGAAGAGCATGCACTGATGCAGCGCGTTACCACACCCCCCACATGATGAAATGCCTCGGGATCCTGGCTGGCGACCCCCCAGAGAGACACACAGTCCAGTCCCACCCTCAAATGCCCATCTGCCACAGCCAGGTGTTACGTGGGCGTCCCCTTAGCCTGGTCCAGCCGCTTCGGTCCTCAGCAGTGAGGATCCTGTGAGCCGGATCACCCTCAGGGAAACATGGCCGTAGCGCCGTAACTGACACTCCCTCACAATGCAGGTAATGTGCCTCATTCGGGACTCCCTGAGCTACCGCTCACTCTACACAAAGTCAAACCAGCAGTACACAAGGATTCTCCAAAGAGACACAGTACCAAAGGAGTCCAGACTTCTTCTCAGCTCATTGGATAATGTCTATGTCTCACAGCCATACAGTAAGACAGGGAGCAGCTGGACTCTAAAGACTTGTACATTCGTCCTCTTGCACAGATATCAGGAGCACCACACACCCCTTTCCAGCAACCTCATGACCCCCATGCTCTTCCAATCTGTCTGCTGACTTCATAAGACTCACCAGAGGCATGAATGTTGCTGCTGAGGTCAGTGAATCTCTCTATGAGGTCGACATTCTCTCCGCATGCAGACGCACTACTGATGCCTGTGCCTAAGAGTTCATTAAAGACTTGCACCTTGGTATTTATCTGGGATTCTCACAATCCTAGACACTCAGACACCTCAGTCAGTCTCTCGAGAGTCCCAATCACAGCCTCCATTGACTCCATGAAGATCACAGCATCGTTGGGAAAGTCAAAATCAGTATAGTGTAGCATCCATGGGCTGGACACTTCAGAATTTAGCTGAATGTGGCATGGCATCCAGGTACTGTTCGCCTGTTGTCTCATTCATACTGAGGATTTGGGCAAACTGCCCCTGTTACATACCTTATTCTGCTCATCCATCCATCCATCCATCTGTTTTCTGAAACTGCTTGTCCTATTCAGACAAGGAATAACCCAGGATGTGGTGCCAACCAATTTCAGGGCAGACACCATTCACACTGACAATCTAATAACTCCAGTTCACCTTTGCATGTTTTTGGACGACCCATAGGAATCCCCACAACAACCCGGGTAGAACATGCAGGCTGCACTCATGGATCTGGGGCAAAGACTCAAACCCAGGTCCCACATGTGTAAGGCAACTATGTCAACTACTACTGTGTAACCCCCCGTATTTTGCTCACTACATAGTAAATAAGTGTGGATTTCAGATGCACCTAGGTGAGGCATGCTTCAATGGGTGGGTTAAAAAAATAAAAAAATATTCCATAACTATCCAATCAGCTGCTAAAGAGAAGG